TTCTTACACAATATGTAAAATATTATTTCCTGAAAAAAAGGAAATGTCACAACTAATAAAGCCGTTTGTTTGGCCAATTTTTTTTACTTTTATACTTCTTACAGTAAATTCATAATTTCTAGACGAGTAATTAATAAGTGTTAATCAACACTGAAATTCTGTTTGTACAGTGTTTCTTATTTGGCAACACGAAAAATACCTTGTGTTGGTTTTTTGTTTTATCTCAATATCTGTTGAAAGATATCAAGTCAAGTTAACTCAAATTCATCAATATTTTGTCTGGTAATTTTGCATTTTTCTCCTTGCAGTCAGTAGTTTATACACAACTTTACGACGTTTGTCTTGTGTCTTCATATTGAATTAAAGAGATGTTTCATCGTTATTAGGCAACAACGAAAAATTGGTTTTATTAACACAGATATATTCACACAGTCATCCACTCTGCTTTCGTTAATAATTACTATAATTTTACAATCGATTGAGCACTGAGTGGGTAGTGATCAATGTCATATTAACGATTGAATCGTGTCGATTAAGTGGTAGTGTGGGTTTTAGTCTAAGTGACTTGATATTGCGTGCTTTATTTCGAGATTTTAAGCAATTGAAATTAATTGCTCTGTTATTGGTTAATCCTATATCAAGTATTAATAGTCGAAGTAACTTTCACGTTCGAATGTAGTAGTAAATTCCTATGTATTACGTATCTCAAATTATTTCATTGCACTTTAAAAAAGCATAGTTTTTACAATTTAGTTAGTACTCATTTATTATCACTAAGCGTTATTCACTTTTCAGCTGAATTGCTAAGATACTAAAAAAGCGTTTGGTGATATGACTCTGAATAGATTACAATTATCCACGTGTATTTACTGTTCATCTAGATTTTGAGCTCCAGTATTCCTTCATACATGTCATTTCTTTCTGCCTTTAAAAACTGTATTCTCTGGATCCAGCTTTCTTCACTATCATCTCTACTACAAACATGTCTTCAATGACGAAAAATTCACAATGGAATAGGAGTCAAATAACAAACTACCATTCTTACATGCGCTAATCACCAGAACCAACACAGGAACACTGTAAACTCAGATTTATCGTAAACAGATCTTCACAGACCAAATTCTCAATCACGGTAGCAACAATCTAGAAGCTCACAAAATCAGTTACGAACTAACTTTACTTAAGAGAGCGAGGACACGCTTGCAGCTCGGAAAAATGATGAAAAATATCTAAAGACTATCTTTCAAATGAACGGCTACCTACTCAACTTCAAGAAATGTCAACCCGACTCGTCAGTAGAAGCGAAGTCAAGTACAGAAATTACCAAACGGATCATCTCATCATATTTAAAAGACCATTCGGAATAGGTGTAACACATAAACCATCAATCAATCCTATACAAACCAGAGGACGAAATGACAAAAGAAAATCAAATATCATTTAAAAAATAAACTGTTTCAACTGTGGTCAGTATATGACATGGTGTCGTGGTATGAAAGAAAGCTGCAAAGGGCTAGCTTCTGTTGGTCCTTCACGACTCCCTGGTTGGGGTCCGAGAGACGGTGTAACGCAGTGGCTAGAGACGTTATCAGATATGGCTAAGAATAGAAGCCAGTGGCGATCGTGCTGTAACCTCTTACTTTCTTCATAAAAAGTGTTTATATCTTCCTTAACTGAAAGATCTCTTCTGATTGTACCTTTCCGTTTCCCCCACCATTGTTCTCTCTCTCTCCCTTTTTTTATAATTCCCCACGTCCATTACTTTTTTTTTCTTTTTTCTCTTTTCTCCTCTTCAAATTATCATTGTTTTGTGTGGCGCATATACATTTGGTGCCCCTCTGTACCAATATTTATGTGTCCAAATAAATAAATAATAAATAAAATACATCGGACAAAGTGGACACACCTGCACGAACATCAATTAGCGGTCAAGTGCCATGACATATCTCCGTTTATATCATTGCATGTGGAAAACTGTGGACACACTCGACTGGAAAAATGATGGATTGCTAAACAGAAGGAATATTAAGAACACCAAAGGGTTTTTTAGGGCTTGGTACTCAGGTAGATCAGCAATCAAGAAGTACGTTGAAATCGATCCAATCTATCAACCAATCATAGACAAATATACGACCAAGAATCAAATCAAAGGGAGATACAATCAAAATAAAGACAATGTTGTGGTAAAGGTCAACAATAAGCAATCAGGGTCGAGATTGACAAGACAACTTGTAAGTCATGTATAAAGAAATAAGAATACTTCATTTCTACTTGAAGTGTGTGCCTATGACATTGTTCAGAAGAACAATCAAAGCGTCACGACCAAACTATCCAGCTCAGAGAACGAAACCACCTAAACAAACATGTTTACTACTTTACCATACATTTTGTTAATTTCATCTCATCGCGCTAATGCGATATGACAACTTGGGCTAATATGCGTTTATCCCAGGCTCTACATTCATGATAACTAAATGACTGAAAAATGGTATCGAATATCCGTCTATTTTGACCATGTTAACAAGTTTTAGTCTGTACTCATCCCCAATTATTACTGAAATACTTGTGTTAAAACAGTAATCCACATCGGAAACTAGTACACCCAATAAGTTCTAAAATAATTCATACATATTGGTTATTTCAATCTTTCCATTGTTGTTTAGAACTTCAATTCGTCAGTCCCTTTTGGCATGTTTTCATCCTGTGCAGATCGCCTCGATGTTCCTATTAAGTCACAAGCATTATAAGCGGAAATGAATAGTGGCTAGCTGTGAACTGGTGAATTGCAGACCTAAACAACGATGGGAAGATTCAAATAATTAATATATATACAAAATTCACTGACTAGACTCAGTAACTAACGAAATAATGCGATGACGTTTGAAGTGAACGTTACTAGGTTCGAGTCCCGGAGTTTACATCAACTGAGGGATGCAGGTGCATCCAGCTAACGAGCCCCAAATAGAGCGATACGTACATCCTTGACTACACTGCTAGCCACTATACATCTCTGCTTAAATTTCTAAAAATAATTTTTTCTATGTTAATCTAAGGGTATTCTATTAATCTATCCGAAATTTTATTCCACTATTCATCTGTTTTAGTGCTTTTAGTTGACCTGAAATTAACATTCAGCTTCACAAACAAGTAATCCTGAAATAACTTTTCGTCATGACATCAATGAATTAATAATCCTATCACATGTATAAGCAGCATGTGACAATAGACATTATTATTGGTAGTAGTAGTAGTAGTATTAGTATTTAATGCAAGCATCATTGAATCAAATATATAAACGGATTATACTTCCTTAAGTAAACGTTTAACTTCTTAAATCACGTATACAGATAGGGCTTGTCTCAGAACATTTTTTTAAATTAAAATATATGTATTTCAAATAGTAAGCAAATTGACGACACATATGTACTTAAAACTAATATTAGCGCTTAGTGAAACAGACTCGAAATATTGAGGGTAAAGTTCGTGATTAACTAGCTTTATCCTAAAGGATTCGTGATTTGTGTTTGTTTGCTTATATATGTTGTTCTAAATTTACATTATGGGAATATTTCAAATTTGTGTTTGTAACAAAGTTAAAGCATAAAATAGTCGTATAAAGGGAAGTTTTATTAGATAAAGTTAATTAGGGCGACTTTTTTTGCGGAAAATAGATGAATTATGACTAGCAGGAGGTCGTTTTTAGGACTTCTTAATAGAATTTATCTACCTCAGTGTTGGTGTTTACGTTAAGACCTGGACTCAGTACCTTTCTAAATTTCAAACGCGTTAACCACTAAGCTACTGAGTGTAGATGACCACTAACTTGTTTAATGGATTACGATGTCTATATTATTATTGGTAAAGATTTGAATTATCCCTTTGTTGATATTCAAGATTGGATTTTGATCAGTCTTAGTTGACATATGTACAACTTGTGCTAATCACCTCGACCTAGCTATTTAGTCACGTGTTTATCATAGGATATAACTCAAAATGAAAGGATCGGACGAAACATGTATACTAGATTCCATTGCTACCCATAATTCATCTATACTATCCATTAAAAGCTGGTGACAAACTGCTTTATCGGGGTTCATTCTTAAAGGATGTATGTATGACAAAAAAGACTGACCAAAATTCAGTCATATATCAGCAACCAAATAATTCAAACGTTTAATAATAACAGTGTTTGCTCATTCAATGTCCCTATAGTTTCACTAGCGAATTGTTCTTCAGCGCGTATCTAACCAAGTTAGTGTCAGAAGAGTAATGTTCAATCGTCAATGCTAATAAACTAATCTTATGAACTTTTCAATGCTGTTACTTAACATTCCTCTTATCGACAAACTTATGTTACGTCAGTCACTACTTAAACCCTACAAATTGGGTATTTCAACCACTTTCCAATCATTAGTAATAAAGTGACAAGATATTTTAAAAAACGTTTTCGAACTAGAAACACCTAATGTTTTCACTACTTATTAAAATAGATTTTTGATAGAATTACTTTCTCTTTGAAATAAGATGGTTTAATCTTGAAGTTTTCATTATTCCTTCCAGACAACAACATCATCGGCAACTAACAAACTCATCCTCCATAGTTGTAAATCTCCACGATTTCAAAATGGAGAAAATCTAAGACTATATCACTATTTCATTTGTAAGTGTCGTTTAAATCTTCTTGTTGTTAGTGTGAAAGACTACAATTGATCAAATCTCTTTTAGAATATGTTCATCCTATTCGTATTGCATGTACATTGCCATTAAGTCGCAACCATTTTAAGTTGAGTTAGATAATAGATAGTCGTGGAATTCACGATGCGTATGCCCTCCTTTTTCGAACCTTGTCAGCTGGATATATATGCAATTAAAATTTTAATAAATGCCCCTAAATTCTACTTCTTTAAATGACTATTAATGATGTAGTTTAATGAATTACATTCCCTCTTTAATTGAATATCATTTTATCCCTTCTTTTTTCCTGAATTAAATTTATGTAGGAAAAAAGTATTCAGTTACAAGATAATCTTGAAAACATGATGAAACGTGGCTCTACTTTTATTCAAAATTTTGATAGTAAACGTCGTGAATTCGTTGATCAATTAGAAGATATTTCACATGAAGTTGTTCGTTCATTTATGCGTATTTTTGGTTCTGATGGTCATTTACGTCATTGGTGGTCATCACGTCGTTGTAAAAGACCTATATCATCATTAAATTCAACTTTTTATACACCCCAAACATCACCAACATGTAGCGCTAGCGAAGATGATGATGATGAGGAGGAGGAAGAACCATATAGTAAAAAGTCAAGAAAATGTTATAGTATGACAATGTATGGGTCACATTCCAGTAGTTCATTTACTGATTCTGATGAACAGATGAATGAACAAAGAATGTACGTTTTAATGGCTTTTAGCCTATGATTATTATATCACCTTCAAAATTATAATTAGCTTAATAATGATTTTTCCATTCTAGAAATTTCTGTTTTTGTAACCAGTTAAATCTTTCTACGTGTGTTTTCGTCGTAAATTATAAAATAAATTAAAGAGTCAATGAGAAAAGCACCTAATCTGTTAACCTGAAATGATTTCTATTATCTTTTTTCTACAAATTTATCTGTTTGTTTTCTTATTACTAGAAGCTAATATATAAAAATGGTCGTTGAGCAGTGAGGAATACTTGATGTAAGGTCTTTTTATGAACATTAGACAGAGTATACTATACAAACATGACATTGATCACTAATCAGTAACCAACCAATGTAAATGATATTATTATCAAACCCCATTATTGTCATATAAAAGAAAATATATCACCACCTACATTGAGATAGCGTGATCAAATGTAATAGTAGTGCTTATATTAGTAAAAGACTAAATATTCCCTGTTTGATGTTAAAAACTTGAATTTTTATCCATCTCTATTAATATATGTAAATCGTAAACAATATGGTCTCCATATTATCATTTAGTCGAAAAATTTTACTACGGGGGTATCAATTGAAATGAAGTAATGAGAAGGTTGTTGTCAGAGCTTAGGATTTAACAGAAAACAGAAAAACGTGAATCCAATCACTCCACTATACTCACTTTATTTCAGTTATATCACCTAAGGTCGCCAGACACACTGAAAACAATTATTGCATATGGATCATTCACCTATAAATAATCTGCGTGTATATAGCAGTATGCATTGATCTTAATAATAAATCGGTAAATTTCCTAATTTTCGTTTTTCTTATTTCTTTTTCTTACGCAACAATAGATTATTATGTAAAAAACGACCACGTGTCAGTGGTGATGATTACCTATCAACATTTCAAACTGAGACTACTATAACTAAGAATACTACTACTATAAACAGATTTACGAATGAAACTCGACGTAATTCCTTCTCGCGACAAGGATCCAAAAGTGAACCTAGGTCACGTAGAAACAATTATCGCAGTCTACGTTATTGCACAGGAAGAAATTAAATCATTTACCGAACAGAAATGGTCTTTTAAAAGTGATCATCATTCAGGTTTCTTTTTTTACATAATTCTTTCTTGTGTGGTTCATTCTGTCCATTTTTTGCATAACAATAGCTAAAGTGGTATGGTGCGATGTGATTTCAATGAACAGTTTGTACGTATCACATCGAATAAATTCACCATTTATTTCTGAATGTAATGATGATGTTCATGATTACAAATCCCTATTGTTTTATGCAGATAAGTCGATGACATAATTTCTGTGAGGAAATATAAACAAAGTTTGTGGTAATAAATTTCCACCTTTGTATATTTACTTTGTATGTGTGTATAATTGTTTGTTTTAATTGATATTTCTTGTTCCAAGTGTAAGTTCCTATGTAAGCGGGATGAAAAATTTTGCTTTAAGTTAATAAATCAGGCCATATTTAGTTTTAATTTCTTGATGTAAAAACAAATTGTTTGTGTTGTGTATGCCTACGGAGAATGATTGGCTTGTACACTTTTTGAAGAAAAAAAAAACATTTTACCCAATTGTTATTAAATAGGACTGAAAATTGTGTTTCAACTAATTTTAGCGGTTAAAATACCAAGATTTTGTTCGTTTCACTGATCTGATCTGCTTCTGGAAAACCCTGGAATTATTCAAACCTAAACCATTGTGATTATGACTTTTATTTTTAATGCCTTCTACTTGCTCGGTGCTCGATTTCTGTAGAACTTTTCGTTCAAATTTTAATGAATGGTCTTATAAGTGATTGTTACATAGAGCAGTATAGATTGTCTTTACAAGCAGCACAGTCACCTACTTTGGTACGACTGAGTATATTAGTGGAATCACAAGTGGGAATAGTACTGACTGCTAAAAATGAACAAAACAAAACATAACTCCCTCCCTTAGTACCTTAATTCTTATAGGAATATTAAACGATAACTCCTAACGTGTGCGTAACTATGACTGAACAGTATTTTAGGTAACTGGAGGCAGTCAGCAGGAATTCCTGGACCCAGGGGTTATGCTAATTGACACTCTTCAGCAATGTATATCTCTAATCAGTGGTAACGTCTCAGACTGTGGAACTGGGTGATCGACGATCACATCTCCCAGGAAACATCATTTCTGTCAAAATCACTGGTACAGTCTGCTGACGAATGCCAAACAGCACGAAACCCAGGTCAAGAAAGATTCCCTATTGATTGCATCAAACAATCTAACAACTCAATATAGCTCATGTGATCCCAGTTCACTTAGACGCATTGCAATTTGAACGGTGGGATTCAAATAGTACTAACAAGACGTAATAAACATCACAGCCACTACTGAATCAACGATGAATCAGTTGTTATCTAGATCCTCAATATTACAGTCCGAAGACTGATGAGTCACTTGCAGTGATTGATTTAATAACAGCGTCAACTAGCCAATAAGATTACTCAAATCACAAATATGTATATCAGTGAACAGCTTAAAAGGCTGGCCCATGAATAAACAATATATTTTTTGTAACAGACACCATTTAATTATGACGAGTAAACTTCAATCAGTCACAAATAACATAGGACCTGCAGTCAATCAGTCATCATCAATGTAAAGCTTGGCACTAATGTTCATTGACCCAAGTTACCATACTGCTTCATAATGATGAGATGAAATCAAGAAAATTTATACCCGAAGAGATCGAAATAATTTAATAGCAATAATAATAAAGACTAAGTATTGAGAACGGTGTTCGAAAGGATAAAGTGAAAGTATATATATGTTATAACATCCCCATCTACGCTTGAATTTGTAAACGTTTAAATTTAACAAGCTTTTATGGCCCAGTATCTAACTCCGATTTGGATGAACGTATAAATAAGTTATGTACATAAATCTTCCATTTAACTTCGTATATTACCTAGTCTAATCTTGCAATGATAAGAAGCCAAATACGTGTTGCGTTGGATGAATTTATTCCAAGCAGACCTTCAGAGCAAAAATTAGGAAGGAGGTGCGGATAAGGCGAGTAAGCCAACTGAATTTTATCAAGCGCGACTGGATATTTATGGTCAGACAAAAATAAGCTACAGGCAAGTAGTAGATAAGATATACAATGCCCACTCACGCGCTCATATTAAAACATTCAAGGTTAATAAGCAGATAATTGACAAGATCAAAATGTGACTCAAAAAGAAATAAAGTGGTCTGTCCGTAAGCTGGAATAACCCATGTGGATTTGACATGGTACTAGAATCTACAATTCCCTTTGACTAACGTATCTAGTAGACAGTGCTATTTATGTCGGTAACAGTTTGCTCATATCTTTGAGCCATTGTCTCCATGCTTCTATGATCATGTATGCTTGATCACATGTTGCAGCTAACTCTATTTTCTTCAAACTGCCTTAAATTGCTCAGTGACTCTCTCTCTCTCTCTCTCTCTCTCTCTCTCTCTCTATATATATATATATATATATATATATATATATATATATATATAAGCTTCTTAAATCCCATTCATTCTCATTTCGTTCATATTCTGTGTAGTTGTGGCCCTTTGATCTGTACTATCCAATAATAAACTGGTCGTCGCTCTGTATAGCCTTCTGTGGATTGATATACCGTTAAGAGTTATCCAATAACGGTTATCACTATTAGTGATGCATGAAGCATAGGAATTATTTCGAAGATATTCCACTGCAATTTTAGGTAGTACTGGAATTCAAGATCGATAAGAAGACAAAGAGTAAATATAGCTGGTACATTGTGGCTCATTTTGAGTCATGTTACCCAGCTACTGATTACCGTTATCGTGCGAACCTCAACCAAATGGCCTGTATCTAACAGCATGGCTAAGTTTAATGGTCAAACACTTCATGGATTAATACTACGTTTTCCCCGGATTCCTGTCATCTTACTCCATCGGCAAACATCACACGGTGTAGGCGGTTTCTGGGTGTATGTAATGTATATTTTAGCTCCCTTACTTGACGAGGATTCGCAATCTTATCAACTAATTTACTATCTTTCACCAGTACTCTGTGTCTAATCACCTACAGGTCTAAACATACGCAAGCAGTGCTTCAAAGACATTTTGAATTAAACACTATCAACTTACGGATGTTCTCTATTTCTAAAAACTACTTCTCACAGTCATAAGGTAAAACAGAGCGAACTGCTGAACAGTATAGTCGTCCTTTGGTTAGCAGATAGATAACTCTCTACTGCATGTGGTGAAGGATGCAAAACCACGCCAATATTTCTAGATCAGTGTTGAGACATTTCGTCGGACAGTTGAAGTGGTCGACACTTTCTGTTATTTTATCCCTCTAGGCTTTAAAACGCACATTCACTAAGCTAGATATTACCATGTTCACAACAGTATACAACCTTAGTGAGAACTGCGTTCAGGCTGCAAGTCCCTGTTCAAAAGGTGACTCGGATATCCTATAAAAAGTGCAGATGGCAGCTACCCGTGCAGTTTCAGAACTCAGGGGTTTACCATACAAAGAGTGGCTTGAAAAGCTGGACCACTTTAATCTGTCCTATCGCAGACTAAGGGGAGACCTAATTTTGACATACAGAATTCAAAAAGTGATTTCAAACCTAGCTTATTCTCTTTTTTCCCCACTAGATCGGGGAAACTCAGAGGACGTAGCAGGCAAGTAGAAAAGCCAAGAACCAACAAAATACCCGTGGCACACAGGTTTTCACACCGAGTCATCAATACTTGGGACCTGCTGCCCGAAGCAGTGGTGTCCGCACTTTCAATTAACTCTTTAAAAAGAAGACTGGACATTCACAGAGACTACTAGAAAAGGAATAACATAGGTCGTAGGCCTTCTGTTCTTACTACACAAACCTGAATCTGAAGTTTTTTGTTGGACACTGACGCCTCAAGCACTGATGGAAAGTCTAACCCATTAAGGTGTAGTTTAAGAACTATTTACGGCGTATGAGAAGATCACCACGAATACCCGGGCCATATACACCATGCTTGAAGACGATCCCAGTTCTAAGTTTATGTATATGTATTGCTATAATGCAACCCATTATAGTAAAAGTCATAACCATCGTTGATCTCAAAAGAAATCAAATTTATTAGTTACTTATAAAAGTGTAAAATAACAGAGGAATTGGAAGACATAAATTGAAAGTCAGTCTGTCTTTTTGTTGCTTTTAGTTTCTTCATGATACCAGTCAATGGGATTTTTATGGTAACATGGCCACGGTGGTAGTACAGCAACAGCCGTGAGTAGACAGCCGAACAATAATATTAAAACGCTGTCAGACAACTGTTGTTTGTAATATCCGACTGGAAATGCAATGATCTACAGACAATTACGTATAAAGATGAAATTAGAAAACCTGACCAGAAATGTAATAATCATTAGGTTCATAAATTTCTCAGCCTTTTTCTGACCCACAAAATCCTTTGAAGATATTTATAGGGAACTGAACACTACCATATACATATTGTGTTTTTCTGCCCATACTCTTACGTCTTGCATAGATATCATGACGTCGAATTGTAACGCAGAGTTTCGATCTGTCACAAAGTAGAGAAACACTAAAACTTTGTTGATCAAATGGTTCTGTCTCCTATCTTCGGTAATAAGGATAGGAGGTCTATCGACCTATGTTAATCCTTGCAGTCTTTAACACTGTGGAGGTCAAATCTTGTTTTGAATATACCAAGAGGTGTGAATATTATGTATTCTAGTACAGAATTCCAGTAATTCACTACTCGGTGAGAGAAACGAAACTCCAGATGTAGACGATTTGATCTCGGTTTTCAAACTTGGAATTTCCTCTCAAATGATCAGTCCTAGACAGAAGGAAAAGGTATATATATAGGGAAAAGAATATATTCGTAGTATCTTACCAGATAACTCTAAAGAAGTTCAGGTCAAAAAACTGGTTAGAATAGGCAAGAGGACCGAGGACACTTCTGAACCCCGACCATACAGACTCCTTAAGGTTATCTTAGGATCAGAGAAGCAACAGGATCTCCTGTTAGGTAATGCTCATTGTCACGACAATTCCGATATCCGAGTTAGACCTGATATGTCTCTCGAAGATAGGACAAAAAGATAGAAAGCACTAGCTGAACTAGCATTCCGTCAGCAAAACGGTGAGGAAAATCTCTGGTTAGCGGGTTTTCGGATAGTCAGGTCTTGGGAGCGAACGCTATCACGGCCTAGGAGTTTTATATGCCGACGCTCGTAGCCTAGGAAATAAGTTCTATGAACTAGAAGCATTAGTGGACAGATTAAGGCAGTGACAGAAACTTGGTCAGTCCATAACCATAACCTAAGGAGCGGTAGACATAGATGTAGAAAAGGAGGTGGCGTCCTGTTATATATATCCAATAATATAAATATCCGCTCCTCTGTTAGCAAATCCCATGACAGCGGTACTTGTGAAGTCATTAGCTGTAAATTGGTCATCGGATGTAGCACATTTATGCTCGGTGTCATCTATCGCAGCCCAATTGGCTTAGCTGATGACCTTATTTTAAAGCACATTCATCTTTGGAGTGCAAATACCGAATGCTTGATAATAGGAGACTTTAATGTACCTGACACTAGTTGGACTGAGATGACCACAGAAGGATCTATAAACTCCTTTGATAGTAGGTTCCTGATAACAATAGTGGAGCATGCATTAGTGCAGCATTTATCCAAACCCACACGTCTTGGTGCTAAACAAGGTTCTTCTCTGTTGAACTTGGTAATCACTCATGAGACTGAGGATATTGTCGACTCAAATATTCTTCCACCATTAGTGAACAGCGATCAGACTGTTTTGTCATTCTCTTTTAGAACTAGGGACATGTTATACGATCAGGTCACACCCCACCCAAATGTATAGAAAGCTAACATATCAGCCATTCGGGAATGTGCTGCTAAGACAGATTGGTTTGTAGATACTAGCTTATCAGTTGAAGAAGCATGAACTGTATTTAAAGATAAGTTTAGTTCAGTTACGTCCTCGTTCATAACATATCTGGTACCGCGAAGATCGAATAACAGTCCACCATGGATAACTTTCTCCATGACAGAAGACAAAGGGTAAGGGTCAATGGGGCTTTTTCATCATGGGTACCTGTAAAAAGTAGAGTTCCTCAAGGTACAGTCCTCGGTTCTCTTCTCTTTTTACTTTATGTAAATGAATTACCAACTGTAGCAAAATCATATGTTCTACTCTTTGCCAATGAAATAAAGATTTGGAGACCCATACATAGTATGTCAGATAGAATGGTTTTACGGGATGATCTCAGCTCATTGGTGGCATGGATGGACAGGTGGTCTGTACAAGTAAATTCCAACAAGAATAGCCTTAAAACAGTACCTTTCTCAATGACCACAAGATCCATCAGCAAGCCGCCACGATCACAATGAATCGTTGGTTGTTCCTCATTGCTGATAGAAAACGCTTTACTGAAATATTCCGATAAAGCTTAAGCTTTTTCGGTATCATTTTCTGCCAAGATTAACGGATTTTCTTGTATCAAAACTAATGGAATTTCGTCGCTTCTCTGAGTCCGCTTTTTTATAAACGAGAAAAACCGTTTCGGATTACATCTAGAATCCACAACCAATTGTTTTTCATAGGATCGTCCAGTCTTACTTATTAACTCTTTACAGGCATTCCTAATCTTACAATAACTGGATCTATATTGTTCTAAGCCAGTAGAGATGAACATATTCCAGTGTTTCTTCCTTCTTCTAAGAAGTTTCTTGACTGGTTTAGTTATCCATGGTGGACTGTTATTCGATCTTCGCGGTACCAGATATGTTATGAACGAGGACGTAACTGAACTAAACTTATCTTTAAATACAGTTCATGCTTCTTCAACTGATAAGCTAGTATCTACAAACCAATCTGTCTTAGCAGCACATTCCCGAATGGCTGATATGTTAGCTTTCTATACATTTGGGTGGGGTGTGACCTGATCGTATAACATGTCCCTAGTTCTAAAAGAGAATGACAAAACAGTCTGATCGCTGTTCACTAATGGTGGAAGAATATTTAGGTCAACAATGGAAAACCTGAAATCAACGTGTGGCCGTTTCGTCGTTTCACTTGACCTCTAGACCCCTGAGCCGGTATCCAACGGTGTTAATATTGAGCACTCGCGCACAAGATCATAGGTCATGAGCAGATCGTGTATGTGAACCGCTGAGAAGTCACAATTTAGGAGGAACCGGCCGCCCAGTGATTCCACGGGCTCTTCATAAGGTTTAAATTCGAATCCTCGAACTGCCATCAAGTCTTATCTTTGGATACATTTCAGTATATTCTTATCCTTTTGAAGCAAAGAGGAAAAACTATATTTCCATTCTCTAAATGGTACTGAATAAAACTGTTGAAAATGAAGTGGAGGGTTTTACCTTCAGGCAGACCAAAAATGCGCTTTAAAGTTGCCACCGAAAAACTTACTTTAAAGGCATTTTGATTTCGGCTAGTGTAAGACTTCAGGTCATAGAGTGCCAACACCTTTAGATCTTTTTCAACTTGAGATACCTTTAGAGAGAAGTTACTTGAGTTGTATCCGTAAAATGCACCATGTCTCAGATGGGCTATTTTACACTTAGAAGTGTCAGAAGTAATTGTTGTTATTCGCTTAACTTTGAAGTCGAGTCAGATCCTCCAGAAGTGCCAGCTTATCATTTTGGTTGCAAACTTCCATCTAAGCATAACGTTCTCAGAGAAAAGTAATGAATCAAACGATACTTGATGAGGTGGGTCATTTGTATAAATTAAGAATGTCAAAGGTCCTAGTGCTGGATCCTAAGGAACCACATCAGGACGTCCCGTAGCCTAAGAAAAAGTGAAGTTCGCCCTGACCTTTAGTAGTCGATATGTAGCAAGTCGATCAATTAGTAATGACTTGATACCCAGATGTTTGAGCTTATTGATGAGACATATGATCGACCAGATCAAAGGCTTTTGAGGGTAATGAGAGGAGTGCTTCCGGCCGATAGCTTGAAGATTCGCTGCGCTGATCTATTTTGAAGATTGGCGTAATGTGAGCCATCTTCCGATTTTCAAGTACCGTGCCTCGACTTACCGAATGTGAGAACAGCACACTAGGTGGTTTTGTAAAGGCTGAAGTCGCTTCGCTCATTGTGGCAGGACGAACCATATCCGGACTAGGAGAAGAATTCTTGTTCAGGCGCTGCAGTTCCTGATACACCAAGTCATCACTTTGGTTCCCTTTCGAGAATTCTATTGAGTTGTAAGTGAGGCTCCCATAGGTGTAGTTAGTATAGGACGGCCGTAACGTCTGAAAACGCCGTTCCCTCGGGAGGTCTACAACGGTATCGTCGTTGTTGGCTGGGACATTGGGAACTAACAGTTGGGTTTTGGCTTGTCGATTAAAGGCTGCATGACACAATAAGGTTTTCGGATTGGAGGTATGTTTACCGGCCAACTATGTCTAGCACTGTAGTGTTTCTTCCCTCATTGACTTTGTGCATTGATTTCTTGCTTGTTTGGACCGTCTTTTTGTGTGTTGTCACTAGTCTGTCTATATTCCGACCAGTAGTGCCTTTTGTGTCTTAGTATTCGAAGAGTGAGACTCCGTATCTCTGTACGTTGCTTGTAATTTTTGGCGACTGTTTTCGGGATAGACTGATTTGTCACACACAAGATCCTAATGAGCGTCCATATCAAGTTGAGCGTGGGTTTCCGAGTATTTCTCCCATAAGCTTATTTGTAAACCTGACAAATCTAGCAACGCGATACTCCAACGCTTTATAATATTAAAATGTTTCATCTGCGTTTCACCTATAAAATCGAAGGCGTTGACGGCACGGTCACTCTAACCCAAGGGGGCCGGGATTGAAAGGTTGTCAATTAGGAATTTTTCGCTTGTAAAAGTGCAGTATAAGCGTGACAGATTTTGACTATTTCTCCAAGGAGTTGTAAACTTCACATTTTCGGATAATCGGAGATCTTCAATGAGATTGAAAAACCTAGCTTCAGTGGAGTTTTCACCTACAATGTACGTGTGTTCAGTGAAGTTTACTTTAGTTAAATCGAAGTCTTCTAGACTCAGGATATGAGTGTATCCGAGACGTATAACTTAGGATAATTCCCCCAATATACTATTATCATACTTGGTATTGACAGTGAACTTCTTGTAAATGGCTCCAGCTAGACATTTTGAGGTGTCAGACAATCTTGCTGAGCACCATACAGATTTTTCAAAATTAACAATGTCTTGGGTTTATAATAGATGCACTATCAAGTAAGATCGTATGTACAGGGCCGTTCAGCTCTCCATTCTTGGCTTTCTGTCATTGCAAAGCAAAGATATTCCGGGTATTCCAGGCTTGTAGTTCATAATTTCAGACGCTGTTCGTTTATATATTCCTATCAGGTGAGTATTAATTCACACGACTCATACATTTTGTTCGATAAACTTGCGGCGTTAGTATATAGGCAGTTCATGCTCTCTATTTGGAATGCATTGTATTTTTCTGAATGAAGTTTATGTGAGTGGACAGGCAACGTACACACACAGCGTTTTCAGAGTTGGTAGTCCCCTTACCTCTTACGTTTTTTCCTTATTCTTAATAGTCCACAAATGAAATCGACAGTTCCAAATTGCTTTACTGCCTAATTATTCATCATGTGACCTGTCCAGATGTATGTGAGTTTCATTCGGTAACCGGGGTGTATTGACACAAAAGGCTTCAAGAGTGGCAAGTAACATTTGTAAGGATGTGAAGGTTATCTCTATTAG